GCGCTGCCCAATACTCTCTTTCCAGCCTTGACAGAGTTCAAAAGTGTTAACGCGGCCTTGTAGGCGATAAATTATTTCTCACCCAACAATCTTCCCACAAACTAAACGCAGCAAGCCTCTCGTCAATCTGTCGCTATTTCCACGGAAAATGTTCTGACGAGCTACATACCCTAGTTCCACTAATTTAGATATTTACATTTAAAACCTGCCATGTGATAGACACAGTGGCAAACCATTCTCGTTCCCTTCATATTCCATAGCTTCTTCCCAAGAGCAACTAATTTATGTAGCAGACATCCTCAACCAGTGGCAGAGCGAGGTCTTGGTCCAGGGTGGGACAAATTTCATCTCTCGCACTTCACGCTTTTGGAACTCTCCCCCAGCTTCTTGTTTTCGTGTAAACTATGATTTTCGAAAGTTTAAATGCAATGTCAGCCGTTATCGTCTGTCTTCTTAATTCCTGTTCTTTTATTGTCCTGTTTCTTTAAAAACATTTTCTCAGTTTCTTTCATTTTCAGTAACCACTTGCATCTTAGTGGATTTATTTCCTTGATTGGGATGAAATAATTAAAAAAAAAGCTCTTTGATAACTTTTGAATAAAATTCTAGTGATTTTTATTTGGAAACGTTTTCAATCAACTCTTGAATCTGGTTTTCCTTAGAGAAAGTTTGAAAAAAGCGGGAAAATAAAATGCATATTCGATATGAACGAATTTGTAGGAAGACAGAATGAGAGATTTATGTAGGATGTATTTACTTAAAGAGTAAACAAAATTTATTATTTTTAACGTAGTTGGTGTTTTATGGTTTGATAATTTCTTTTGTCGACAGATGTTTCCTTTTGATAATAAATAAATAAGTACATGATGACCTATAAAACTCAAAATTTCCTGTTGTAAAAAAAAAAAAGAGACATTCACAGAAATTTCAGTTATTTTGCTTAAACAAAAAGAATTTCCCAGAAAGTGAAAGTGAAAGCGTTGATCAAGGTTGATGAAAAGTAAAAAAGAAATCTGTAAAAGAATTTTTTAAAAATTTACAAGTCATGGAAAATCCCAATAAAACGTGGAATTTCGCAAGTTACATGTGAACACAAGACTATGTTAATATGTCAATAAATGTATCTTTTTAATCACACATTGTAAACAGAAATATAATTCATAACACGACACATTAAAACAGTATATATATATATATATATATATATATATATATATATATATATATATATATATATATATATATATATATATATATGTAACTTAACTTACGAGTGCCTCAACTAACGATTTTTTTTATTTAAGATACGAATCATCTCTCGGTCAACTTTTGCTTTGAGTTGAGAGCTAAAATTTGGATTACGAGCCACCTTCCACGGATAGTTGGCGCAGGGAAACCCACAGGTAACGCCATGAAATCTACCCGGCATCATGTGTTTCACCCATTCACCCAAGCGGTTAGCTCGCAGGGAAAGCATCAGTGTTGCACAGGGTTGTGCTTGCTGTGATTTTGCAAAACTTCGTTTTTTCATCCCGAAGAAAGTGAATGCGAAGAACAGTGCTGAGAAGTAGAAGCGGATGGTGTGCATTGACTTAAAGAAAGAAATTGAAAAACATGACAAAGATGTGCGTGTAGTAGAATTGGCGAAGCTGTATGAGCGTAGGACTTCTACGATCTGCAACATATTGAAAGAGGAGTTGATAAAGGCTATAACGCCAGGCAAAGCCATTCAAATAATTTCTCAACAGCGGACATCTATCTATGAAAGTATGGAGAAACTGCTGTCGGTGTGGTTGACGGAGCAGAAGCTCGCAAGAGATACCGTGACGGTGGCTATAATCTGCGAGAAGGCACGAGCTATTTACGTTGATTTGCTGCAACAGATTCCAGGCATTTCAACGAACGGGGCATCGGGAGAGCTATTTAAAGCTAGTTGGGTCTGGTTCGAGAATTAAAAAAGAAGGAACGACATTCACTTCTTTATCAGTCTTAGTGAGGCAGCGTGCACGGATATAAAAGGAGCTGAGGATTCCCTCAAAAATTTGCTGGAATTATAACATTTGAAGGATGCATCCCCCAACAAGTCTTCAACTGTGAAGAGACGGGACTTTTTTGAAAGAGGACGCCAAGGAGGATTCATATAACAGCAGAGACGAATAGAATGCCAGGCCACAAACATTAATCATAGGCTAACCCTTGCACTGTACGCCAATGCAAGCGGCGGCTGCAAGATTAAACCGTTGCTTGTTTATCATTAGGAAAAGTTGCATAATATTCTGTAAGAAAAAAACTGCAGGTTATGCAGGGCAAACCCGAGGGCATGGGTTACCAGGTAATTTCTTTGTGGAGTGGTTGAATTAGGTATTTAGTTTCGTGATATGGCCTGGCTGGGTGCTATAAAGAGGAATTTGATCACTGGGTGGAAGAAGCTGTGGTCCAAGGTTGTGATAGAAACAGACTGTGAAAGTCTCGAACCCGAAGCAGCAGTGGTGGAGGAGATTGTATCTCTCGACAAGTCCATGAGCCTGGACATAGATGAAGGTGACATCAACGAGCTCATCGAGGATCCATCCGAGGAACTGAGGAAATAAAGGAGTACATGGTGGTTTTGCATGAAATAGTTGAACATAAAATAGAATTTATAAACAAAATGGAAGAATACAATTCATTACCTTTCTTAGATATCAAGTTACAAAAAAATTAAAATTTTCAGTGTCCCTAGTTCGTGCGCATGTGTAGTCACGCATGCGCACGAACTAAGTATACTTGTTCATATATATAACTTTACTTTTATTCACGAACAAGATTTTGGCAGTTATCACTAACTTCCGATGAATTATCAAAAATATTTCCAAAAATAACAAAGAGACATTCGTAAGCAAGCAGGAATTAACTGCGTGGCTGCCAAATGGAAAATGTCTGTAAATTTTACATTTTTTGTTACGACGGGAAATTTTGAATTTTGTAGGTCATCGTTTATTTATCTGTTTATTATCAGAAGGCAAAGGCTGTCGACAAATGAAAATTATCATTTCATAAAACACCAACCTTTTTGGAAATAATGAGTTTTGATTTTTCTTTACATAAATACACAGAAATTAGTTTATCTCCAATAGGCATAACATTTCAATGATTCTTATGTTGCAAATTACCCAGAAACCCACACCATCAGTAATAATCCAATTAGCATGAGAACAAACTCAATCTCTATGTGTCATTGCCTGAGCAATAATTAGCATCCTAGTTTTTTAAAAAAATATTTTTACTTAAGTAAGTCGAGACGTCAATGGGTGTCTATCTCATATAATAATCCTGTGTTAAGCTAAGTTCATCTTGTATATTGTCATCATTTTTATTCTTCAAGCTTGGCCTTTTATTATTCTCTCGCTACTCAATTTATTGTCAGTTTATTTCACTTTGACTTCATTTAAATTTTGTTAATTTTGTCAACCATCTAAATTTTTTTCAATCGTGTAAATTTTTGTTAACCATCTAAATTTTGTCAATTTTGTTAATCCTCATTTTTTTTGTCAATCGGTTAAATTTTTGACAATCACATAAATTTTGACAATGTTGTCCACCATATAAATTTTTCTCAATCATCTAAATTTTGTCTATTTTGTCAATCATGTAAATTTTTCTCAATCATATAAAATTTTGTAAATCATCTAAATTTTGTAAATCATCTAAATTTTGTCAATTTTGTCAGCCATCTAAATTTTTTTCACTCATCTCATTTTTGAGCCTTGTACAGGGTAAACATTGTAAAAAAAGCAATGTTTGCTTATTTACTATCCCACCCACTCCCTTTTGACAAGCTCGTTTGTTGGGTTACTTGTTGTTCCCGTCTGCCTCTCTTGCCTTCAATATGTCATGTGAATGTTAGATTCTCTTAACCCTCTTCCATTATTACATGTACCAGAAATATCATCTATTTTGTTCAGATTCTAAATACAATTTTTCTCTCATTTTCCTTCAAACTTCATGGTTGCCTACATGTTCCGTCCATAATATTCTCAGCATCCTCTGTAGAACCAAATTACTGTGGCCTCATTTCTCATATTCGTCTGCAAGAGAACTGTCCAGGACTCACTGTCATAGTGAAGGATTTATATTACATAGCAGTTTAGCCCACTTTTCTTCGTTTCTAATGAAAATTACATTCTTAATATTGGTTCGGAACAAAATTTGTAGCATTTTCTAAGTTAATTCCAATGACTATCTTTAGATATGGGTACAAAGATGTAAGGTGTAAGAGATGATCCCAGCCAAGCTATATCAATTTCTGGTGAGACGTGAGGTTTGGTGTTGTCCTGATGGAAAGCGATAACATTCTGATTGGCCAATCTCAGAGGCTTTCCGTCGATTGCTGACCTTGATCGATAAAAAGTCTTCTCGTCTTCTATATGCCGTCTCCCTTCAGGACATGGGCGGTGATGACTCTTCACGATTTTCTGTTCTTTGTAGCACTTAATAATAAGGAGGAGGGACAGAGGAAAGCAGTGTTTAACCTAACTAATGATCTGGTGTAAATGGATAGCAGAACAGGGATTAGGAGAAATAGCAAAAAGAGAAAGTACAGGAAAGTTGTGGAGAGCCATGATTGCCAACGTGCTGAAAGGACACGGTACAAGAAGTGTAATGTAAGTAACGATGTGGGAAATTAAAATTACAGTTTTTAACCTTGATTTGGATTTCCAACTTTGGTGTTTGCAAACACATTCTGTCAGAAGAAGCTAAAAAGTTTCCCATTCAAGAAAGATGCTATTTTTGTCATCATTCAAAACTAACACTTACATTCAGACAAACAAAGCAGAAAAAGCCGACATTACAAAACAAGGCGACCTAATAAGGATTAATCATGTGACATCAAAATAATCGTGATAATGTCTGTTCTAATTTCATGACGTTTTCAAACAGATCTGCTTTCTCTCATCCGGGTTTTCCCGTATTTCGTGGAATTCAAAATATATTTCGTACTTTCTCCCTGTTCTTTTTAGTGCTTTTTTCCCTTTTTCCTTTCTTTCTTTCTTTCTTTCTTTCTTTTATTGTACTTTACCTTTCTGTTTTTTTGTTGTACCTTTCCTTCTTTTTCCAATTTTAGAGCATACTCTTTTATTTTTATTAAGTTCTTCTATTTTAGTGTGTTTTCTCTCGGTCACTCTATCACCTTTTATATTGCTTTTTTCTTAATTTCTATTCGTCCTTTGCGAGTGGTTTTCTTTCTTTCTTTTTTGTACGTTTTTCTATTTCCTTTTTTAGTATTTTTATCTTTTTATTTAATGCTTTTTTATTGCTTTTCCTTTCACTCTTTCTATTTTTTTGAATACTGCTTATCTTTGTTTCTTTTAATCTTTATCTCTATTTTTTACCTTTCTTCTTGTTCTTCATTTAATGCTTCTTTCTTTCTTTTTTTATTGTAATATATTGTTCTGTCTTTTTCCATTTTTAATTGCTTCTATTTTAGTGCTTTTTCTATCGCTCTCTCTGTCTTGTTTATATTGCCTATTTTCTTCTTTTTTGTTTTTTGGTTTTCATTATTTCTTTCTTTCTTTTTACTATGTGTTTCCATTTTTCGTTTTTAGCGGTTATTTTAGGAATAAGCGATCATGACTCTCCACAACTTCCTGTCCTTTATAATTCTTAATAAATGTTGTCTTTTTGTTGTATCTCTTTTTTGTTATGGATATCAGAAAAGACTCGACTTTTCTTAACTTAGATGACTGTACGAATAGCCGTGTTAACGTGATATGGACGTAATTCTTTACAACGATCATATAAAATAGGTGGAGTATCTCTGCGATGTCCCGTGTGGTATGACCGGGTTTATTTTTAATCAGCATTTTTATTTGATCAAGTTCATTCAAGGGCGGAACACTTGAAATATACAATGAATAAATACTTCAGAGATGGAAGAAATACATTGCAAAACTCTTCCACAACGAAAGAGGACAATGTGCAATACACAGATATATCGAAGGCTAGGAATATTAAAACCTGACATGAAATCATCAGTGGACAAATTGAACAAGAATAAAGTAGCAGGACCCGATGGGATTGTAATAGAGACGCTGGCAGCTTTAAATGTTTACGGCATTGACAAAATTAGAGACATAATAAATGAAATTTGGAAAGGTGGTGACATATAGTAATACCTAAACATTTTATTAGTGGTACAAAACTTAATAACCGCCATAAACACACAAATTTTATTTGTATTTTTAATACTATCACACATGACAATAATTAAAAGGAAAAAAGACGAAGCTAGCTGACCGGTTTCGAACCTCGTTGACGAAAGCTACATCGAGTTTAATAAATATGTATATATTATCGATAAAAGAAAAGGAATATAAAGGAAGAAAAACAAGATTAAATAGAAATCATCTGGAGGCCAATGACAAAATCCTTCTGTTTACGGAGCGAAGGATTCATGGATAAAATATATATGTCCTCCAATATCTTAAGGTTGTAATTTGAGTGGGACTTACTTAAGAGTGAAAATGAGTCCACACTAAAATTAGCAGCACAGTTGCTGTTATTTATAAGGTGTTCCGCTATGGAAGACCCGTATGTAATTGTCAGAACATCTGATATTGAATAAGTACAGTTCAGCATTCTTGTAGGCACGTGTTGTTTAATCCTAGCATCCAGCCTTTGAGTCGTTCTTCCCATGTAGTGCATACTGCAAATACATTTAAATAAATAAATCAGGGAACTATTATGACAAGAAGGAAGACCTAAGTAGACACATTCTCATAACACTGAATAAGAAACCAGGTGCAAACTTTAATTAGTTAAATGAGAGAAAACAAACTTATTTGAATTCTGATGAATAGGGCGCATAGCAGAATTAGATCCGAAATAGGATAAGAACAGCGCGGTTTCGTTAAACATAATGGAAAAAAAAATCGATATTTATGCTCAGAATATTATTAAAAAGAACCGTGGCCAGACATTTGACCGAGAGACATTTGGCGGAACGAGCATTTCGCCGAGAGACATTTGACCGAACGGACATTTGGCCGAACAAACATTTGGCCGAACGGATATTTAGCCGAACGGTCATTTGACCGAACGGACATTTGGCCGAGAGACATTTGGCCGTATGGACATTTGACCGTGAGACTTTTGGCCGATGGGCATTTGGCCGACATACATTTCACCAAAATTTTTTGCTTTCAAAAAAAGCAATACATTAATTATTTTATTTAGCATTTTTATGCGGTAGAATAGAATTAATAATTACTGAATTTCAATTGATTAAATTACTAAACTTAAAGTGAAACGTTTTCTTATTTCAATATTTGTTTATTGAAATTAGTATTTTTTAAAAATATTTGAGCGTATTTGGGTAAAAAGTAACAACTAATTATTTAAATTCGTATTTAACAGTAATATAAAAGCTAGTTCATCCCTTTAAGATAATGATCATTAAAAGCCAAATTGAAAGATGTTTTATATCATAAAAGCTTAAGGTTTTTTGTTGTAACAAAATGTGCTTTTTTTTCTCAAAATACTTATCATCTCACAGTAATATTTAAAGCAAAATATTATATACATAGAATAGATTTAAAAAGAAAGCCTGTCAAAAAAAAAAAGAAAAAAAAAAGTAAAAAGAAGAAAAAAACGAAAAATTATAAACAATACAGTAAATAAATATGAATATATGTAGCACATTACGATAAAGAGTGTGACATACATATAAGTACGCCACTACATTTTAGACCAAATGTCCGTCGGCCAAATGTCCGTCGGCCAAATGTCCGTCGGCCAAATGTCCGTCGGCCAAATGTCCGTCGGCCAAATATCCGAGTACCGAAAGAGCAATACAAATGCAAAATGATGTATACCTATGTTTTATGGTTTATACAAAGCATTTGATAAGGTACATCACAAAGAAATGTTAGAATTGCTGGGTTAGCTTGTTATATTTGGGAAGGATATAAGAATAACCCAGAACTTATACTGGAAGAAAACCGCATGCATGATGATAGAAAATAAATTGACAAAAATAGAAAGAGACGGAAGACAAGGATGGATATTATCATCAGACATATTCAACCTTTACAGCGATACAATCTTGAGAGAATTAGAAGTCCTGCTAGATAATCTTGACATATTTGAGAAGGGTGTTATAATAATCCAGAACCTATACTGGGCGCAAACCGTTTGAATACGGACAAAAAATGAATTCATTAAATATAGAAAAATAGAAAGGGATGTAAGACAAAAATATGGCTTCTCAGCTATACTGTAAGGCGATTCTGTCAGAATTAGATGTTCTACTAGGATTCATTATTGACGGCCAGAGTTTTAACAACATTAAGTATGCAGATGACACAGTGTTGATAGCAGACGGAAACGTCAACTGTATGAAGACAATGCATGGTTGTCGGCAAACTAGACACCGTAACATACATATTACACGTTAAAAATGTGTTTTTACAGAGGAGGGAAAATGCGACATTGAAATCTGAAGCGCATTTGCATAGCCAAAGATGCTTTCCAAAAGCTAATCATAGCATTAAGAAATAGAAAAATTTAATTAGATAAAAAGAAAAGTGTACTGAAGTGTTACTTTGGATGAAAATGGGTTTCGCTATTTACGCAGGTTTTCACTATATGGGTGGACTCAGTTATCACGTTAAATGACTGTTAAACAATCAACTTATTGTTGGCTACAATTGAGTGAAGTTTGTATTAGATTGCTTGAAAAATGAGGGATTTTTAGTTTAAAATTTGTGTTGAAATCGATCTTTCGTTTTTTCGCGATTTTTCGCTAAACGCAATGGCCTAGAAATAAAAAAAATTGGGGTATCGTTGAACTTGACATGATGTAATTAACCTACATACTGAATCTAAACGAAATCGGAGGAAAAAAGTTGAATTTATCGATTTTTGATCAACTTCATCGGTTATTGATTTTTTTAAAATTATCGATTTTTTACGTTAAGAACCTATCTCTTACATAGTACAAAGTATGTGCCAAGTTTGGTCAAAATCGGTTGGAATACACCTTAAACATGTGTTTTCACAGAGGGAAAATGCGACACCGAAATCCGAAACGCAACTACATAGCGAAAAATGCTTTCCAAAAGTTAAGCAAAGTATTAGGAAACAGAAAAATTTAATTAGATAAAAAGAAAAGTGAATTTAAGTGTTATGCAATATCAATCATTCTGTATGATCGTGAATGCTAGACAATCTGCTCCCAGATGAAGAAGAGACTCAATGCACCAGGAATGTGGTTCTACAGAAGGATGCTGAGAACACGACGAACTGAAGATGTGAGAAACAACGAAGTTTTAGAGAAAATGCAAACTTATAGATAGCATTTGAAAGAGACGGTTGAAATTTCTAGGGCGCATAATGAGGAAAGAGGGCTCGGAAAATATGACATTCACAAAACATATTGAAAGCAGGAAGGTCAGAGGAAAGCAGCGCGTAACCTAAGTAATGGGCTTGTGTAAATGGATAGCAGAACAAGGATTAGGAGAAATAGCAAAAGTACAATCTTAGCTAAGGGCTACAAATGTCAGGAAAGTTGTGGAAAGCCATGATTGCCAACGTGATGAAGGGACACGGCACAAGAAGTGTAATGTATGTAAAGACGTGGGACATTAAAATTACAGTTTTTAACCTAGATCTGGATTTCCAACTTTGGTGTTTGCAAACACATTCTGTCAGGAGAAGCTAAAAAGTTTCCCATTCAAGAAAGATGCTATTTTTGTCATCATTCAAAACTAACACTTACATTCAGACAAACAAAGCAGAAAAAGCCGACATTACAAAACAAGGCGACCTAATAAGGATTAATCATGTGACATCAAAATAATCATGATAATGTCTGTTCTAATCTCATGACCTTTTCAAACAGATCTGCTTTTTCTCATCCGGGTTTTCCCGTATTTCTTGGAATTCAAAATACATTTCGTACTTTCTCCCTGTTCTTCGTTTTAGTGCTTCTTTGTCTTTTTTCCTTTCTTTCTTTCTTTCTTTCTTTCTTTCTTTCTTTCTTTCTTTCTATTTTACTTTTTTGTCCTATCTTTCCTTCTTTTTCCAGTTTTTAGTGCTTATTCTTTCATGTTTATTAATTGTTTCTATTTTAGTGCGGTTTCTATCGACCTCTCTATCTTTCTTTATATTGCTTTTTTCTTTATTTCTTTTCGTTCTTCTTTGTGAGTGGTTTTCTTTTTTCGTATGTCTTTCTATTTTCCTTTTCTAAATTTTTTTTTATTAAGTGCTTCATTTTATTGTGTTTTCTTTCATTCTTTTTATCTTTTTGGATAGAGTTCAAGACATTATGGTTAAGGTAAATGTTAAAATAAACCTTTTTTATATACTAAATTTCAACCTTTGAAAAGCTCGAGGACCACTCAAAATAGATGATTATAGTCAATAATTTACTGTTTGATTGATTTTTGACTTACGGTTTATCAAAAATTTGCAGGTTATTTAAAGCCAGAAAATATTTTTAGATTGTAAGAATATTTGTAGATAATAATGATTTACTGATACAATTTCTAATAATTAATCCATAGATGAGTAGAGAAGCAGTGTACACATACATTTCACAAGGGCATTTGCGCGTAAGTGAATTTAAGGAAACAGACTGGAATTGAAATTGGGCCTATAGATGTTACGGCTATTAGTGCTGGATTGATTATTTCACCTAAAAACTCGTTGAATTTCCTCCGTTGCTGAAATAAATAGATAGAGAAAAGACGGAAGGATACGGAGACAATGGAGGGACTGTTTAGGACTGATTTTATTTCTTTCTATTGGATTCAACGACCTCTTGTTGGGGAATTTCCTCCCAAAACAGTTGGTACGTATTCACCAGTCAATGGTCCAACAGAAAAGCCCCAGCGTTTCTTCTTTTAAGCGTCTGCTCTGTTTAAGCGTCTCTCTTTTAAAAAAAACGTCTGCTCTTTTATTCTTTATTTTTGCACCTGCGTAATTTGTCTTTCCTGTCAGAGGACTCTTGGGAGATTTTAATGTTTATTTTATTATTTTTATACTTTTATTTAATTTTGTATTTTATTTTATTCCCACAGGCCTTCAGATTTCCAATTCCGAGCCGTTATCTATTGCATCAACCACACATTCAAGCTGACAGAACTTGATATTCCCAAGAGGTCACCCATCTAGATACTCTTACGAGAGGCGGTGTTTCAACTTGATTTGGCCGTAAGATTTCATCAGGGTAATGCTGAATGAGTTGTGTTGTATGAATGGAAGAGAATCTGGTGGCAAATGATAATTATGAGGATCCAGATTGAACTGTTTAGGGAAGCAACCACACAAGAGTCTGTCCCAAAAGGTGGCTGCTATATGAAAATTTATCTAGTTGAAACTTTCTTCTTGTGGAGGAAATGAACATGATTTGATTCCATGGGAGTGGAATCGTGTATTCTAACTATAAATATCTGAACAGGTGAAACGAAACAATGGCGCGAAATAATGGACATTTTTTATGGAAATATCGGTACTGTATCAACATATTTGCAACACTGCGTTTGTGGGAAAGAGGTTAGAGAGTGAGAAATAAGCTATCACTTCAGAATGCCATACCAAACCTCCTGCAGAAGGTGGCGAAGGAGAGCGGGAAGAAAAGACTAAGCATAAACTATAAGAAGACAGAATGCATTGTCATCAAGATGAGCACTAAATGCGATTTACAGGTGCGGGGATACAAAAATCAAGCAGGTGCGGAAGTTTAAACACCTGAGAAGTATTTTGACAGAGTTCGACACTGAAATCTGTAGACCTATTGGGATGGCCAAGGACGCATTCCAAAAGCTGGGAAGAGTATTCCGAGACAGGAGGATCTCTTTGCTAACAAAGAAAAGAGTCATGATCTGCTATGTGACATCTGTACTCCTTTATGGCAGCAGATGTTGGACAGTCTCCTCAAAGATGAAGAAGAGACTCGAGGCGACGGAGATATGGTTATACAGAAGGATGCTGAGGATATCATGAACCAAGCGTGTGAGCAACGATGAGGTCTTGGAGAGGATGCAAACATAGAGGAGGCTTATAGTTAACATCAAGAAGAGGCAGCTGAAGTTTCTAGGACACGTAATTAGAAAGGATGGCTTGGAGAATCTGATACTCACGGGTCGAATAGAGGGAAAGAAACAAGAGAAGGCAACGCGTGACATACCTGGTGGGCTTAAGCAAGTGCATGACAGAATGTGGTCTTGTGGGGGGGGGCAGAAGGACGAAACTTATTGAGAGCCACAGGGGATAGGGGGAAGTGGAGAGCCATGATCGCCTACGTCCTGAAAGCACACAACACATAAAAAGAAACACAAAGGTAAAAAGTGAAGACTGTGCAGCTCCAGTTCTGATATGGTGGAAATGATCCATTTTTTTAATTTAATTTTTTTTTATTTTATTAGATCTGACTATTGTTAAGATAAAGCATGGAAGAAAGAGTCTGATATTTCCTGGAGAGGTAGATTGAACCGATCATTTTTTGAGTGTCTTTGACAATGGATATGAGGCGTGCGGTAAAATTGCGTCCCAATAAATGTCCAAAGCATTTTATTTTATTGAAGTAAAAAAAAAAAAAAAAAAATGGAACTGTCCTGTAACGGTAACTGTCTGACATGTGACAATATATAGCATAATGATTTCCATATTTTGTCATTTGGAATGACGTATGTTAATATTTATAAGTTTCTGAAAAAAAATGCATCTGTCATCGTCGACTATAATGAAAATTAGGTTAGGTCAGTAACAAACATAAGAAGTACCGTATATACTCGCGTATCATGCGACTTTTGAAGGCCTAATTTTGAAGCTAATTCTAAGGGGGTTGCATCATACACGAGATATAAAGTTAGCGTATGTACTGTTGACCCAGGCTACGCCGTTGACCAAACTATATATTTATTTACGGTAGTCAAATTATCTTCAAAATTAGGTCTTCAAAGGTCTATGATACGTGAGTATATACGGCAGATAGATAGATAATTAACAGAGTGCGATAGATAGAAAGGTAGCTAGATAATTAACAGACTGCGATAGATAGATGATAGATAATTATCAGACTGAGATAGATAATTAAGAGGCTGCGATAGATAGATAGATAGATAGATAGATAATGTATATACTCGCGTATCATGCGACTTTTGAGAGACTTAATTTGTAAGCTAATTTTAAGGGGGTCGCGTCATACTTACGGTAAGTCATTTGGCATTTTTTATAAAGGAGAAAGGCAAAGGTGAAAAAAAAAAAAAACGGCTAAACTATGCAGTTGTTTATGACAAAAAGCAAAGCGTACAAATACCGTTGCGGCAAGTGAGAACATTTAACCGTATTTTGGCTCTTAACATTCAATACACCCAAAACCAAACTCATAACGTTTCAGATCAAACCCTGAGTGTTCTCTACTCATAATGAACGGTTGTCCTCTCGTTGAATCTACTTGCCTGAAACGTCTGTTGGGACTCAAGCTCACACCAGGCTTCAAGTGGAACTCGTAAAGACGCTGGAGAAATGGTTGGTTTCTTGTGCCGCTTTAGAAATTACTTGGCTCCTCCTACCCTGCTCAATCTTAGTAAGAACCAGATTAGCCTAACACTGGAGTATTCCTGCTGTCTCTGGGCTGTAGCTGCCAAATCCTCACTTCCTCGCCTCGAACGAGGCCCTGAGGTGACGTATTGTTTTCCACTCTTTAAACCGATTCCCATGGATAAAACATTTATCTGTTTTAGGCATCTCGACGTGGTGCAATGGTTATCAAGCTTGTCTCGCTAGAACAATTATGACTGAGCAGTGGGTTTGATCCTTACTGAGTGCTCCAAACTTTCGGCCTTGTGCCACATCTAAGCTACGTTTAGAAAATTACCATTTGTACCAGTTTTCATGACAGATGTTCTTGCAAGCAACATTACTTGGTTCCAGACTTTGACAGCTATAACGCGACTGAGTCGGCACATTCTCATTCCCTTCATATTCCACAAGTGAGGGGGGCACATCTACGTGGTGTAATGGTTAACAAGGTTGCCTCCCAAGAACAATTACAACTGAATAGTGAGTTTGATCCTTACTTGGTGTCCCATACTTTCGGCCTTGTGCAACATCTACGCTTAGAAAATCAGCATATTTCACAAGTGAGAACCGATGCCCTCTGGAACGTACTCCCGAAATCACTACACTCTTAATTTCCTTCTTCAAGTCAAGGGTCAAGTTTTATCTATATTACATATCCTCATATCATTTCTAGTTGGTAACCCTCTATCCTAAATTACTCTTCGGACTTCCATTGGATGAACAATAATTTAAAAAAAATGATTTCAACTTAAAAATGGGATATTATGAATTTCAGTTATTATTTTCAGTTATTTTTCAGGATTAACAGTTCTCAGTCGAGAAAGATTAAATTTAAATTTGGAAATTTAGCGCAAGTGCCAAGCGTTTCTCAAAAAATATATATATTCTGATAATAATGCAATATTCTTATCTGACCCTGAGGAGCGTTAACGTCCGGTGATTCTCAACTTCTTTTTACCCAAAGACCACTTTTACTCTTAACTATTTTGGTGGAACCCCATAAACATTCGATGAAAATACAAAAGCTTATTTTATTTTTTACTAATAGATAAGTTTAAGATTTGTATTATAGAAATAGTAAATTTATATGCTTTATTTTAGAGTAAAACTAATTTAACGAAAATAACTTGTATTTAGCAACTAAAATCTATGGAATATTTGTGTACAGTAGTAAAATAACTCATAATAAACCAATTTATAATATGAGTAATTGCTAAATAAAAAAAGGGAAAATTTATTCAATCCTGTGGTTGATGCTGATCTTTGATTTATTTTATATTCGTCTCCATCGATGTCAATGATAGTTGAAGATTTATCCCTTTTCACAATGTCGTATTTTTTTTTTTGTGCGTGGAGCCAAGTAATGTTACATGGGCTCCCGTATGGACCACTTCTTTAGTCGGTTAGGTAGCACCATATCCATATTCAACACCCTTGATGATGAATTGAGTTACAGATTTTCTAAGGTCTGTGATGAATACATAAAACTTGAGTTAAGGCTTTTGTCGTAATTTGAGATGTTACCACCAAATGTAGAGCATTTCTGCTGTATGAATGCCGGACTTAGACGACCTATCACAGTTTTATCCAGCACCTTCACCGCTTCAACCAGTGCTTCTTGCTTTCTCTGCTGAAAATTTCATAGTGGTCTAATGTGACTGT